AGATAGTCTGATGTTGGATCAGACTGTCTGATCCACTAAAGAATCACAACAAGCAGATCTAGTGCACAAACAAGAGTAAAGCACAAACAACAACTAGATCTATAGCGGCACAATTAAGCAAAGCTAATGAGAGGATGAAGAGATATCACCAATGATGAAGTTTACCGAGTTGTTCCCGGAGTTCAAATCCTTGAGGGGATTCTACTCTCCGTTGAGGAGCTCACTAAGAGCTGGGTCTTTGCTAACCCTTTCCTCAAGAGGTTGCACTAAGCACTCCTCCTTTCACTAAGGGGTATCTCTTTCCTTGCGGAGGCGAGATCCGGCCTTCACAAACTTCTCCCGGCAACCACATGTAGATCGGTGGCTTGGGAGTGACACCTAGCCGTCTAGGAGTCCTCAACCTCCAAGAGTAACAAACACCACACAACTCTTGGTCAAACCCTAGTGCTCAAGATCGAGTGAAAACACACACTAGGCCCTCAAACACCAAATCCACAACCACCAAGATCCACCACACAAAGAACGAGGAGGGATTTGAGAGAGGGAGAAAGAGCTCAAAGATCCAAAGCACCTTAGCACCAAGCTCAACCCAAAGTGAGTGAGAATGAATGAGTTGGGTAACCCTAGAAAAGGGTTAGGTGGGGGGTATTTATAGATCCCCCACAAATGTGGCAGTTGGGAGAGAATCCTTTCATCCCACCTCGGAAAGTCCGAGGTGACATCGGATAGTCCGATGTTTTTGACCCCCAAGCAGGCCAGAGACAGAGAACGAAATTCTGGAGAATTTCGGACAATCCGATAGATCGGATAGTTCGATGTCATATCGGATATTCCGTTATTTTTGAATCACGAATTTTATCCTGTCACAGAGACTCAAGTTCCATTGAATTTCGGAGTCTCTAGGTCATCGGATACTCTGATCACATCGGATAGTCTGATTTGAAAAATCACTCAAGATGAATAAAAACCAATTCAAAACAGAGAGTGAAGTTCTGAGAAATTTCAGATAGTCCGATGTATCGGATAGTCCGACCTTGGATCGGATAGTCCAATATTTTTAGCCAACACTCAGACCAAAGACAGTGAGCAAAGTTCTGTGAAATTTCGGATAGTCTGAGAATCGGATAGTCTGATCAGGATCGGATAGTCCGACAGGAATAAAACAGGAACACTTCAAATAAAGGATTTTGAGCACTAGTGTTCTACCAATTATATGCATGAGGTGTTCCTCTTAATAGTACGGCATCCTAATACTCAAGAACACATGATACACAAGGTTTAGAGAGGTGATTACCACAAAAATTGCTACAAAGCTTTCTATGCTTAAGTTCCACTCCTTTTTCATCCTTGCATACATCTCAACAAAAAGCATTAGTTACCCTCTAATTGTGTTGTCATTAACACCAAAATAAATGAGGGGGTCCTAGATGCACATTCAGGTCACTAGCACAAGCCCTATGTGTTCCAAAAAGCAGATTATATAGGTGGTTCAAAGAAGGGCCGATACCATGTCACTCTAACTCGCTAAAGCCTTATTTGAAGGAAGCAAATAAAAATGAAAGGTTGCGGTGGTGTGTTTGTATGTTAGATCCAAGTACATTGCCAAACAGCCCCAAGTTTATTGAAATAGAAAATATTATACACATAGATGAGAAATGGTTTAATGGCTCAAAAATGGAGAATACTTTCTACCTGCATCTGGATGAAGAGGAACCATATTTCACAGTGCACAACAATAATGCCATTGATAAAGTAATGTTCTTATCAACAATTGCAATGCCTAGGTTCGATGGATGAGGGTAACTACACTTTTGATGGAAAGATAGGCATTTGGCCTTTTGTTAGGAAGATAACATCTCCTTCTTATAAGTGCTATTCACGTACACTTATTTTTTATATTTATTTGTAGGGTATTTGTAAATCTTACTTATTTCATATACTACCAGGAACTAACATGATGGAGAAGTCGTAATAGAGAAAGGGGGACACTAGTAAATTCCACCATAACTATATTATAACTCTAATTTAACTTGTATATAATTATTTTAAAAATATATATGACTTTATAGTTAAGTTATATATAGATTATAATGTAGTTACAGTGTAATTATATTATAATTATAATGTATTTTTTTAAAAGAAAACGTGACTTTTTTTAACAATTCCCTTAGACGATATTCTCTCCATTAGAAAAACGAATCTAAGGCTGGATGTGATACATTATAGTACAACAAATCTGGACAAATGTATGTTTAGATTCATAGTAGTAGAATATGTCATGTCCAATACTATGTTAGTTTTTACGGGACGGAGGGAGTGTACCTTATTTAGCTATAGACTGTTCTAGATAACTAAGGGTCTAATCATTAACTAACAAATAAATATTTACTAGATAAAACATCACGTTCTGATACTAAGTAAACATGAGGTAGAAAATGAATTTGCTTGGTAGAGCTAAACAATTTGATTTCGTGTGCTTCAAAATATTTATGTAGTCTGAAGATGAGAGATAACAGATCAATGATAGAAATGCTAAAAGTAGCTTAGGTGATGCAGTAAAACAAAGCTAGATGAGATGATGTGCATGGCTTCTTGAGAACTCTAGTATGGCAAAACATGGATAATTGACATAACTTGTGTAATTCAATTGTGCATATTTTTTTGATAGAGGAGAATGATTTATTTAGATAATAATGTACTTAGCTTTAATTAATAATGGCTGCATCGAGAGAAATAAAATTATCTGAAAAATTAAGATGCCTCTTAAAATTAAGATGTTTATGTGGTAGCTGCTTAAAAGACAATTTGGCTAGGAGGAATTGGCATGGTATTGAAATGTTGTTTCTGCATCAAAAATTATCCATCATTTATTCTCGAAGTATCATTATGCAAAATTTCTTTGGAGAGCGCTGCAATTTTCCTCTGTTTATATATTCCATGTGGTATATCTCATATTTTTAAGAATTGACTTGTGGGGGTTGATAAAAAAGCCAATAAACTTATTCATGTCGGAGCCTCCTTTATATGTTGCGCTCTATGGTTGAGCAGGAATATTATGGTTTTTGAGAAATCACCATTTGTATCTTATACTGAGGTTCTTATGAGGACAGCATACTAGCTCCGATCATAGACTCAACTACTAAAGTATGATGAAGACATCAAGCTATTAAAAGTTGCATGTCGTAATCTTGAGTCAATGGTTATGCAGCTTTTCGTCAAATTCGTATGAAGATTCACAAAATCACAAATAGAATCCAATAATCATGTGGTATTTTTCTTGTGTTGGCGCTTAGTAGTTTGTGTGTGCTCCTATTTTTTTAGGTGTGTGTTGAGGTCAGTTTATGTTTGGTTGAATAGGTGTAATAAACTAATAATTGACTGTAGCTTCTTCAGCAAAGATCAGGTCAGGATTCTATTCCATTATGTAAAAATAAATAAATTTTAAAATGTTTAATTCAAAAACATAATGGACCGTCGCGCCCTTGGCCCAGCCCAGTCCAAGTCGTGGCTCCCGTTCTTTATCCCCCTTCTCCATAGGAAAAAGTACACCCAAGGTCCCTCATATACAAAATCATCCCCCAATCGCAAAATTAGATACCGGGCATTCCTCAACTAACAAAACCGTTCTCTTTAGGTCCCTCGGTGGTTTTGACCCCAGTTTTGTTCGACGTGGTGGCTGAATCAGCGTGGGACCCACGTGGGCCCCACATGTCAAGCTGCCACATCATCTCTCTCCCTCTCTCTCTTTTCTCCGCGCTCACTCGCTGCAGGGCGGTTGGCGGGCGTGCACGGCCGCCGGGGGACGCGAAGAGGTCCCCCGCCGCTACATCAAAGTCGGGCACGGAGATGGCAAGGTAGGTCGTGACAGCGAAGTGGGCGGCGGCGGCTGCGGGGGTGGGGATGAGAACAGCGGGGGAAGGGACAGGAGCGAGTCGAAGGCGGCGGGGGAGACCGTGTCGGCGGTGAGGCGACGTAGGAGGCGGGAAACGGAAGAGGGTTATGATGAGGAGGCTTACACTTGTGGACGTGGGCGGTGGTGGGCAAGCTCTCACACTAGGAGGGGCGAGGCGGGAGAGGAGGGCGTCGGCGACCCCCACACCCGCAACCACCCAGCACGCGCCGCCGATGCCTGGCGGTCCCTCGCGCGTCGCCGATGCGGACGACGACGACGAGCTCTCGCACCTCCTCTCCCTGGCTGAGGCCAACCTCAACGCCGGCCACCTCCGCGCCGCGCACAAGCATGCCCCCCCACCGCCCACCTCAACCCGGACTCCCCGCGCGGCTCGCTTCTCCTCACCGCCATCTCCGTCCTCGTCGCCGACCACTCCTTCCACCGCGCCACCCTCCTCCAACCCGACTCCGACTCACAAGGCTCGCCCCTCTCCCCCTCCGCCCTCCGCCGCCACTACAAATCCCTCTCCAAATCCCTCCGCTCTGGCCCGCTCTCCTCTTCCCCCGTCGTCTTCTCCACCATCAAGGAGGCCCTCCGCCGCGTCGCGGACGCTTACGCCGTGCCCGCTCTCGTGTCACTGCCTCATCGGCCTGCCTGCTCTGCCCGCCACCACGCTGCCAGCTTCGCACCCTGTCTCACTGTCGCCCCACTTTGACCACCGCCGCCCCGCCGGCTTCGCACGCCATCGTCCCACTCCGCCTGGTTGCTCCCCCGCTCTTGCCCCATTCCACATGCCTTCTCCGCTCATCTCTACTCGTCGCCGTGCTCATGGTCGTCCTCTTCGATCTCCCCATGCTCCCGCCGCCGCCGCCCTTCCCTTATGCCGTGTCACCGCCACCGCTGCATCGCTGGCCGGCCATCAGACCTCCTTGCCCCGGTGACCTCCTCCCTACCGCCAGCCGTCTAGAGACCTAAAGAGGAGTGAGAGAGAGAGGAGAGGAGGGGAAATAGAGAAGAGGCTGACGTGGCTTCCTGACATGTGGGATCCATGTGGGTCTCACGCTGACTCAGCCGCCACGTCGCATAAAACCGGGGTCAAAACCACCGAGGGAGCTAAGGCAAACGGTTTTATTAGTCGAAGGACGCCCGGTATCTGGTTTTGCGATTGCGGGGTGATTTTGTATCTCGATGACAAGTTGACGCACCTTGGGTGTACTTTTTCCTTCTCGATATCGACGTCGTCGCCGTCTGCTTCGCCCAAATCGCCGCCGCTGCCGCCAAACCGTCGGTGGAGAAGGCCTACCGGGTTCCTGTGGCCCGACGGTGAACTTCACGGGCATGGCCGCGATGGAGCCGAAGGCGAGTTCCGGTGGATTTTCCTCGGCGGTTGTCGGCGACGGGGGCGCAGTCCCGCCGGGGCTCGCCCCCGTTGCCATCCTTAGAGCCGTGTGAAGGGCAGCAAAGGCCCTCCACCCTAGAGCATTCTCTCCGGCGGCGCCGCTCGTGCCGGAACGCCTTTTCCGATGAGAAGCGCCGGGACCATCAGCCAGCAGCTCACCCGCTACGCCGCGGCGCAGGCGCTGCTCCCGGGGGCGCACCTCCACGCCAACCTCCTCAAGTCCGGCTTCCTCGCCTCACTCCGCAACCACCTCATCTCCTTCTACTCCAAGTGCCGCCGCCCCTGCTGCGCCCGCAGGGTGTTCGACGAAATCCCTGACCCGTGCCACGTCTCATGGTCATCCCTCGTCACAGCCTACTCCAACAACGGCCTGCCCCGGAGCGCAATCCAGGCCTTCCACGGCATGCGCGCGGAGGGTGTATGCTGCAATGAGTTCGCTCTCCCTGTTGTGCTCAAGTGCGTGCCGGACGCCCAGCTCGGTGCGCAGGTGCACGCCATGGCGATGGCTACGGGGTTTGGCAGTGATGTCTTCGTGGCGAACGCGCTTGTGGCCATGTACGGTGGATTTGGCTTCATGGATGATGCGAGGAGGGTGTTCGATGAGGCCGGCAGCGAGAGGAATGCCGTCTCCTGGAATGGCCTGATGTCAGCGTATGTCAAGAATGACCAGTGCGGCGATGCCATCCAGGTGTTTGGTGAGATGGTGTGGAGTGGGATTCAGCCTACTGAATTTGGGTTCTCTTGTGTGGTGAACGCCTGCACGGGTTCCAGGAATATAGACGCTGGAAGACAAGTGCATGCTATGGTGGTACGGATGGGCTATGAAAAGGATGTGTTCACGGCCAATGCATTGGTTGACATGTATGTGAAAATGGGGCGTGTTGATATTGCTTCTGTTATTTTTGAGAAAATGCCTGATTCGGATGTGGTCTCCTGGAATGCTTTAATTTCTGGGTGCGTACTTAATGGTCACGATCACCGTGCGATAGAGTTGTTACTGCAGATGAAGTCTTCAGGGCTGGTTCCCAACGTGTTTATGTTGTCTAGCATCCTGAAGGCTTGTGCTGGTGCTGGTGCATTTGATTTGGGTCGGCAAATCCACGGGTTCATGATCAAAGCCAATGCAGATTCAGATGATTATATAGGTGTTGGTCTTGTGGATATGTATGCAAAGAACCATTTTTTGGACGATGCAATGAAGGTTTTTGATTGGATGTCCCATAGGGATTTGATTCTGTGGAATGCACTGATATCAGGTTGTTCTCATGGAGGACGACATGATGAGGCTTTCTCTATCTTTTACGGGTTGAGAAAGGAGGGTCTCGGCGTGAATAGGACAACATTGGCTGCTGTTCTCAAGTCCACAGCAAGCTTGGAGGCAGCCAGCGCCACAAGACAAGTTCATGCTCTTGCAGAGAAGATAGGTTTCATATTTGACGCTCATGTTGTCAATGGGCTTATTGATTCCTATTGGAAGTGCAGTTGTCTCAGTGATGCAATCAGAGTGTTTGAAGAATGTTCTTCTGGTGACATTATAGCTGTTACATCCATGATCACAGCACTCTCACAGTGTGACCATGGTGAGGGTGCAATAAAGCTGTTCATGGAAATGCTAAGGAAGGGGCTTGAGCCAGATCCTTTCGTGCTAAGTAGCCTACTGAATGCTTGTGCTAGCTTATCAGCTTATGAGCAAGGGAAGCAAGTCCATGCTCATCTGATCAAGCGACAGTTCATGTCAGATGCGTTTGCAGGGAATGCTCTTGTGTACACTTATGCTAAGTGTGGTAGCATAGAAGATGCAGAGTTGGCTTTCTCCAGCCTGCCAGAGAGGGGAGTTGTCTCATGGTCTGCAATGATCGGAGGGCTAGCACAGCATGGGCATGGGAAGAGAGCATTGGAATTGTTTGGCAGGATGGTTGATGAAGGCATTAATCCAAACCACATCACCATGACTAGCGTTCTCTGTGCCTGCAACCATGCAGGGCTTGTTGATGAGGCCAAGCGGTACTTCAATTCAATGAAGGAGATGTTTGGCATTGACAGGACTGAGGAACATTACTCATGTATGATTGATTTGCTTGGCCGTGCTGGTAAACTAGACGATGCAATGGAGCTTGTTAACAGCATGCCATTCCAAGCAAATGCCTCAGTTTGGGGGGCACTACTAGGAGCCTCAAGAGTCCACAAAGACCCAGAACTGGGAAAGCTGGCAGCTGAAAAGCTCTTCATCCTAGAGCCTGAGAAATCCGGTACACATGTTCTGCTTGCAAACACTTATGCATCTTCAGGCATGTGGAATGAGGTGGCTAAGGTGCGAAAGCTAATGAAAGATAGTAACATCAAGAAGGAGCCTGCCATGAGCTGGGTTGAGGTTAAGGACAAGGTGCATACTTTCATTGTTGGTGACAAGAGCCACCCGATGACAAAAGAGATATACTCAAAGCTAGATGAATTGGGAGATCTGATGAGCAAAGCTGGTTATATTCCAAATGTAGATGTTGATCTCCATGATTTAGACAGGAGTGAAAAGGAGTTACTTCTTTCTCATCATAGTGAAAGGCTGGCTGTCGCATTCGCTTTGCTCAGCACTCCACCTGGAGCACCCATTAGGGTCAAGAAAAATCTGCGCATATGTAGAGATTGCCATATGGCATTTAAGTTCATTTCAAATATTGTTTCGAGGGAAATTATCATCAGAGACATAAACCGATTCCATCATTTCAGAGATGGGACATGTTCTTGTGGTGATTACTGGTAGAAACATCGGAACAGGATTTTTTGTAGCTTTTTGAGAATTGTGGTGGTCAGAAAAGTATACACACGCTCAGAGAGGCTTAACAATTTAGAAAATTTTGTACCCACTGTAGCAACCATTTTAGACAGTTGTTGGAGTATTCAATAAGCTATGTGGTTTCTGTAGCTCAATCTACAACACACTCCACACTAAGCCAGAAAGGTCCAAAATTTTGTTTTTTCTGTTGTGTTAACGAAGGAGCAGTCCTCATGTACATGATTTTTTAAACATTCTTAATTGTTATAGGATAGAACAAAATTTAGCTATTGCAAGTTTACAACCTGGTGTCTCTTATAGTATTTACAGGGAAACGACTACCATTAGTCCTGCAGCTGAGATAACATCGTTTGATGGCCATATGCCTATTTCGTTATTTACAAGTTCGTACAAGAGCTTCACTTTTGCATCACTGCTGGAGATGGTGACAATGAGGTTATTATACTACAGGGCTCCTCTGATTCTGTTGGTATTCAACTCAAGTATTTTATTTCCATTACCCTACATGAACTTGTATTTTGTTACAGGTAACTGGTAAGGCAGTTTGCTTAAAGTACAATTTACTGTTCTTTTGGGTGATGTTGAGAAGACAGCCGCACTCAAGAACTTGGACATGATACTTCTCTCATATATGGTTGGTAAATATTTCTTGTGGTCTATGCTAAGATTGCATCATCGTTTTTTTTAAAAGAAAACTATCATGCAGGTGTTCCTGACTATTTACTTTTTAATCATACACACGCTGTGGCCTATTTTTTTGTGAGATTATTTCCAATATTCCATTGTACTTGTTTCTTTGAGCTATTTTCTAAACCTCTATGAATACATTAACATAAACTCTATTATGTTAATAAAGGGGAATGCTGATATTGCTTTAGTAAGCCTAAATTCATGTACTGTGGTTGCAATGAAACTGGAGCACTTGGCAAGTGTGGGCAGATAAGAGAGAAGCATAAGTTTTTAGACAGGTCACGTACTAATTTTAAAATTGAGAATTGTTCCTCATTATCTTCTAGTTATTTTTTGTGTCGAACGTAAATAGCTGAAGGAAAAGGTTGACAAGTTGACAATCTTTTGTGTAATGTCAAACAGCTGGCTTGGGAAGCTATTGGGGAGTTTCTGTCCAAAAAATTGCAAGTTTGACTATTATATGGCAACCTTGGAAGGCTCTTAATTTGCGCATGTGCAACAACAATATGAAATGACTCCTAGCATTGCCACATAGGTTTTCCACTGACATGGAGAGAGATTAAGGTCATCTCTTTACTAAACAAATGACAGGAGGCACAAAATATGATGTCAGAGAGAAAATCTTGTGGTATTGCTTAGGGACAACTAGTTGGTATAATATACTAGTGACTAGTATTTATTGTGTAGCTATTTTCAATTCTTTGTATAAGTAATAAGTTATCTCTAATATTGTGTTTTCCTGACGTAGAGGACAGTAGAAACAACTACTATCTCATCCCTGTACATGCCCTGTAGCTCTTTTACATCTTACATTTATGGACCACCATTTAAATGCATGCAAGGAGTGTTGAAGAACAAGCATGATCACTGCCATTTTCTTGTAACTAAGACTGCAGTTCTCTTGTGAAGTTGTAGCTGAGTGCCCGAGTGTTTCACATGCCATTCTATTTGTCATTCTGAAGACATTATTTTTCTACTTTCATAATCTCATCAATTTCATGAGAAATTCTCTTCAGATGAATATTTAGCCATTGCTAGGAAGCACCTTGCAGGCTCTCTGCTCAACTGATTAACTATCATTTTTTTCTTTTTTTACTTGCAAGTTAGAGCAGGTACAATAGCAGGCTATAAGCCAGCTGCAAACATATTTTAAGAAGATAAATGAGGAGAGAGAAGAGCAGCAGGTTACAGATTTGTACCCAGCTGTAGCACGGCCTCCAAGACGCAGTGTGTATATGATAGGTGGGACTAGGTATTAATAGTGTAGTATATAACTATTGTATGAATGAACTATTAGATTGACTATAGATGAATTGGAGCTAGTAGTTGGCTATACTATTAAACTTGCTCTTACAGCTTCTCTGTGTTAGTGCAATTGCGATTTGTCTCATCAAGTCCTACATGATATTTGCCATCAGAATGCTTCTGCACTTGTTTCCGAAGTACGGAGAAAATAAAGAGTCACCTCTTCTTGATGAAATCCTAGTGGAAATAGCTTTTGCTTTCTATTAAACTGCTTGTTGGTTTGGCTAATTGGCTAATGGAAAATTTACCCGACGAGATGCTGAACATAAGGCATATGATGATTTTGCTTTTTACTAGTAGTTTGTTTGGCTAATTGGTGGCATTATGTAGTTTTTGCAGCTTACTTCAATCATCCGAAGGTTAAGCAGTAATTGAGAACTTGAGATAAAGGTTTCTTTGCGAGCTTGTACAAGAGAGGGGAGATTTAGAACTACATGATGAATATTTGTATTGTCAAAATTCTTAAGGCGGAGATAGTAATATTGGCACAGGTAGGAAAGATTTAGCAGTAATTATATTAAGGCTATGTTCGGTTCCTTGGGATTAAACCCCCAAGGGGAACCTATCCAGGGAGGGATTGAGTGGATCCCTCCCATGTCACTTAATCCCTGTGGGATGAATTCCCTTGATTTTCCTAATCCCTGTTTTCAAAACGTTTGTTCGGAGAGGGAATGGCGCAGTCGTGCCCCCGGTCGCTCTACCCCAGGGGTGACGCGGGCGGCGATTCAAGCCGCGCCGCCCCCTCCCTCCCCCTGCTCTCCCCAGCCTCGCCGCCGCCCGAGCAGCCGCCGGCAAAGCCGGGCGGAAGCAAGGAAGGCGGCGGCGGGGCTTTCCATCTCCCTCGCTCGTGGTCAAGGCGGCTGGGGAACCGACGTGACCGGACGACGGGAGTGAGGCGACGGCGACGGCGTCGGCGTCCAGCTCCGGCGCTGCCGAGCACAGATCCGGCCCTCTCTTGGCCAGATCTGGTGCTCCCACCGGCGGGAGTCGTGGGGGACGGCGGGATCCGCCGCCATCCCGCCCGGAAGCGACGACGCCGCGGCCTGCGAAGGAGAGGTGGGGGCTGGCGCGCCCTTGCCGGTGCGGAGACGACAGCCGTGGCGGGAGGCCGGTGACAGTGTGCGATGCCATCGTCGGGACGGTCGGCAACGGCGGCGAGGCAGAGCGGCGCGGGGCTTGGCGGCGACGGCAGCGAAATCCCCCAGATCCGTGCCAACTCGGCCAGATCTGGACGGCAGCTAGCTGTCACGGCTGTGGCGGCGGTAGCAGCTGGCGACGGCGGCGGCTGGCGATGGCGTCTGGCGGCGGCGGCGGCAGCAACTGGCGTTGGCGACTGCCGATGGCGGCGGCGGTAGCAGCTGCGGTGCCGGCTGGCGGCGGCGGCATCGGCGGACACAGCGTCAGGGCGGCTCCTAGCTGCTTGCTAGTGGACGTTTTGCTGGTGGAGGCCGACTCCTTCCCCTTTGCTGGTGGAGGGTAACGGCGCAGTGGCAGGTCGTTTTGCTAGTGGAGGCCGACTCCTTCCCCTTGCTGATGGAGGGCAACAGCGCGGCGGCGGTTTGCGGAGGCGGTGGCTGGCGTCGGTGGCAGCGGCGACGGCGGCCGTGACTGTGGAGGCGGTGGCGACGTTGGCGGCGGGGAAGGAGTCGGGTGCGAGGCGAGGATGGCGACGGCGAGGTGGCTGGGCGTTCGGCAGCAGCGGCTGCGGTGGTGGTGACCGTGTCTGCGGTCACCGGAGGCATGGCGGCCTTGGACGGCTAGCCGAGGGCGTGGGAGACGGCTGCATCTGGTCGGCGCGGCATCGTTTGGTGGAGGGGTCGGAGACCGGCTTGGCGCAGAGAAGTGCAGCCGATGGCAGCGGAAGCCGGCTCGGCACGAGAGACGCGGGCGGCGGAGATGGAGGCCGGCTTGGCGCGAGAGGCGCAGCCGATGGAGGGAGGCCGGATTGGCGCGAGAGGCGCGTCCGGTGGAGAAGGCCGGCTTGGCGCAGAGAGGCGTGGCCGGCGGTGGAGGAGGCGACCTAGGTGTGAGGAGGAGCTGCCGATGGGTGTGGTGGTCTTCGGCGCACGAAGGCTGGCTGGCGGGGGACGCCGGTGCAGGGGTCTCACATGTCGGCAAAGCTTTTGTGGTGGTGGAGCATCGGTGTCTCAGACGTGGATTCGCAGGTGGTGAGCGGCGGGTGAAAACCCAGTTCGGCCTTGGTTGGACCGACAACGATGATCCTCCCTCTTGAGGGCGTCGTTGTGCTGTCTCACCCCTCAAGGGTGGTTGCCGGGCGAAAGCCCAGTCTTGGCTCCTTTGAGTCCCGACGGACGACGGCGGCGGTTTTCCGTCGCTTCTCTTCTTGAAGACGTCGTTTTTGGCATTCCCTAGGGGGCGTTCTCGTCTGTGTCCCTTTGTTGGTCTAGTGGCGGTCGGTCACGCTTAGCGGCGGCCGGTCCGGTGTTAGCCTTCTCCTTGGCTTGTGTGTTGGCGATGTCGGCGTGTGGGTGGTGGTATAGTTTTTCCTTTTTCCTGGTTAGGACCCTCCTAGGTTGTAATCTTGTAATTTTTTCGTACTCTATCAATAGAACTTCACACCATCACCGTCTTGTGCGAGTCGTTCAAGAAAAAAACGTTTGTTCGGTTTTGGCTTGGTGCGCCTCCTTAAATCCCGTGCCAAGGCAGCAATAGGCAACAGCAACAACAAAGGACTGGTGCTTTCCTGCTTCAACGTTGCACGCTGTCCATTGAGTTTAGAATAGCAAAATTGATTTTCAGGTTGGCAGTTTAGTTTAGAATAGCAAAAAAATATTGCAAACCGATATTTTTGTATAAGTGAAAAGTGCAACATGAATGAAATTACACTTCAGTAAAAAAAATATTGCAGTAACCTCATCAATTACGCGAAAACCACATTGATTAATCATTAAAACAAAATTATTGCAGTATCATCAAGGCCTGTATCCGGTTTAAGGCAAGGAGGCATCACCCAACAAAGCTTGAGGTCACTTGACAATACAGAGACAACTAAATACAGTCATAGTAGTGAAATTTGAAAATAAAAAAAGAAAAAGATGAAACTATGTCATGATTCACTTGAGCTATAAAAATAAATGTGAGCTGCCACACCCACTCCTAGACCAAATGGTTACATCAGCAATATACAATGGTTCAGAGATCAACATTTGTTGCTCCTGCAAAAGCCATCATCTTGTACATGTCTGCTCATTCACTCTGTATCTGAACCACCATCCTCTCAGACTTCCTCCCAAAGCCTGTAGAGAAGAAAGAAGTTTCCTTCAGTTTTCAGTTGTAAAATGCAATAATTTAGGCAATGCTTTTGTGCAGTGAGCAATTGTCTCAAATTTCCTGAAACCAGCCAACTATTGATCCTTGGCAACATTTTTACCAAGTTTTCAGTTTGACAAGTGATTGTTTGTAAGCTGTATTGTGTGCTTTGCCTAATAGCTAGCAGTGCTAGAAACATGGACATGCATATGAGACTAATGCTAGCTGTGCTTCAGATATCAAAATGAAATTAGGACACATATAAGATTGAGCAAGCAAAAAACTGAATTCAATAGTAGCTATAATAGAAGCAAAAATCAGTAGTCTGCAGATTAAGCAAGCAATAGCTGCAAAAATCATGTTTTACATCCAGAATTTCTTCATTAGATGGTTCTACAAAAGATAACCTAAAAATGGACCAACCTAGGAAATTATTTTTAGACCATTTGAACCATGTACCAAAATAGTTCAGATTTAAGTAAGTTGTATTCTGCCGACTGCCAAGAGCTTTTTACAGGCCTCAACTAAAGCTGCACATGACTCATTTTTCTTACTACTTCAATTTGAACTTTGTACTTTGTTCAGAAAATATGGCATGTGGAATGGCTCATTGATCTACTTGTATTATGGGCACTGTCAAGTATGGGTGAGATTACAAGAGCAGACAACTTGTTGGAATCACTTCTGATGAACAACATTTGTCTAGTATTTCTGAAAAATGAACAGCATTAACTTCTGATGCCTCAATATTATTACGCACTGCATGTTTTTGTGGCATTACTATTACCTGCCAACTAATTTTCATAACCTTTATGTACAAATTTAAAACAACTCACATTGAATTCCCATCATTTTCATTCACAACTCGAGCCAAAATAGTAACTCATATTGGCTTCCCATTTTCATAACCTTTATGTACAAATTTAAAACAACTCACATTGAGAATCAGAAAACGTGGTCTTTCAACTACTCAACTACCAGGAGAATCAGCATATTCTCACTAGGGCACTACAAACAGAGGATCAGATCCAGGAAGGACATGATCAGAGCTTCAGACTAAGTTAGGAATATTACTCAGAACAAATCAAGGGAGAAAGAAGAATAAATCAAGAAACCTTGTGAGGAACAAAGAACAGATCCATGTCCTCCTGCTTCTCCTTGCCGTAGCGCTTAGAGCTTCAACGGCGCCATGGTGAGGGGGTGTGATGCTGCGGCGTCCCCCGCCATGCCTGCCACCGTCGTGCGCCGCCGCAGTAGCACGAGGCCACGAGCGCAAGAAACCCTAACACTGGAAGAGGAGGCTAGGGGAGATGGGAAGGGAAGGAACTCACAGGGGAGAAGGTGACCACCGGAGGAGTCAACTGCCGGAGGAGAGAGCGTGCCGTCGCCGTCGCGTCGGAGTCGCGCCGCGCCGTGCAGCCGTCCCCGCCGCAGCGCCCCCTCTCGTTGCGTCGCTGCGTCGAGAGGATTTTTTTCCTCGCCACCAGAGAAGCTGAATATTTCCCGGCCGATGACGAGAGGAAAACACCGGGGTGGGCCGGGATAAAATCTCGTCTGGGCTTAACCGAACGCCTATACTTGCGTAGGCTGGTATCTTTTCCATGCCGGGATTTTTCACGGGATTGGGCCTGATCCCGGCCGGGAACGGCCCAACCGAACAAGCCCTAAGTGGGTTATGATGGAAAGGTGGGCTACAAGCTATTTCGCCGTAGCAAAGATACTGCTTCCTTGATGAATGGTGGGCAAAGTTCAGAAGCAAGGGTTGGTCAGGTTAGAAAAGGGTTGTCTTCTTGGGAGCCTAGACGTTATGGAAACATCGTGATCGTTGTGTCTTCGACGGCCCTCTCTGGCTCTCCCAACCTAGCTGAAGCCTTGCGGCTTACTAAAAGAAGAGTTGTATCATTGTATGACTGGGGTTTGTCCGGGTCTAAGGGCACTCATGTTTTCATGCCGAACGGTGAATAGCGCTAGCTTGTACTCCCTCCATCTACTTTTGATAGCCATATTTTTAAATCTGAAAAATTTATTTTTGATAGGCATATTTCAATCCAACAACTTATCATTTTAATGGCTTTCTTGGATTTAATGCGTGACTCTTCATTCTTTCACACAAGATTGACTACATGAGCATCGAGAAATATAAATATTAGTGAATCGCTTGTTTACGAGGAATGACTAGTAGCATATTTAAATGAATGATAAGTAGAATCACTTATTCTTGGTCTGTATGCCAAGATGAAATATGACGGAGCGTGGGGCTCCTCACCGGGAGACCGCGCAGGCCTCCCTTTTGCCGGTTCGGCCGGGGGCCCTGGGTGAGGTTCTAAGCTCCTAGCCTGTGGAAAGTTCGCGAGCGTGGAAACACACAAGACACGGGCGATGTATACAGGTTCGGGCCGCTGAGAAGCGTAATACCCTACTCCTGTGTTTTGGTGGATCTGTGTATGAAGAAGCTACAAAGTGCGAGCCAGCCCCTGATCGTTCAAGGATCGTTTTCTTCCGGCGTCATGGCACGGGGCTCCGCTCCGCTTGACGGTAGCGTGCTGCCGCCTTCCCGCATCGTGAGCGAGAGACAGGCCGGGCTGCCGCGCCGCTTCATGCTGGAATCTGCCACCGGCCGGGAGATAGTCTCGCTGGGCGAGGGATGCCCGGCGCCACGCTACCCGGGGCGGTCCGTCTTCTTCCTCCCTTTTGCTATGGCAGGGCTGGTTCCGCCATTTTCTTCTTTCTTCATGGATGTTCTGGAGTTTTACGATCTCCAGATGGCGCACCTCACCCCCAACGCGGTAATGACATTGGCCATCTTCGCGCACCTGTGCGAGATGTTCATCGGGGTGCGCCCATCCCTTCGGCTGTTCCGGTGGTTCTTCACCGTACAGCCGGTGTCGCCGCCGTCGGTGGTTGGTGGTTGCTACTTCCAGCCGCGGGGGCCGGTGCTGAACCGCTACATTCCCTGCGTCCTCCGCAAGAAGTGGGATGACTGGAAGAGCGACTGGTTCTACACCCCCCTCGCCGACGAAGCGCGCCTCCGACTTTCGAGCCAGCCTCCAGCGCAGGCCTCCAACTGGCGGGCGCCGGTAGATCTGGGAGATGGCTACGACGCCGTCCTCGACCGCCTGGCGGGCCTGCGATCCCAGGGGCTCACAGGGGCCATGGTGTTTGGCGACTATCTTCGTCGCCGGATCGCGCCACTCCAGCGGCGCACCCGGGGCGCCTAGGAGTACACCGGGTCCGAGGACTGTATGAGGACCCACCAGGGGGTCAGATGGGACTGGGCTCCTGAGGACTTCAAGATAGTGGTCCAACGGGTGCTGAATCTCAGCTCCGTGGAGGCATCCCTCATTCCTCAAGGAGTCCTCCCCCTCTGCAGCGATCCAGACCGCGCCTCCATCCTGACCATCATGCAGGCGGTCGAGGCGTCGGAGGAGCGGGCTCCTCGAGGCCACGATGGCGCGGGCGGGAGCCGCAGGGGGGAACAATCTACCCCGGGAGGGGGTCGTGCTTCTGGGCCCCGCAACGGGGGCCCGGGGAGCGGCCGCCCTGCCGACGCCCGGGGAAAGAGGAAGCAGGAAGGAACCCCTCCCCCATCTCCTCCCCGAGGGGGCGGGGCGGCGCGTGCCAGCAGCAGGCGCCCGGAGGGGGCCACGCCGACGTCGCAGCCCGAGGGGGAGCGGAAGAAGAAACGGCTCCGCAAGATGGGGGGGACAGAACCATCCCGGGGAAACCTTATTTCCCCTCCAAGGTGGTCGTTTAACCGACCCCCTCGCAGGTTCGTCCCACGCCCATCGTGGCCGTATTCATTCCCTCAATGCGAGTTTTCACTCATCCATCTTGTTTGTCTTCTGGTCTTTCTTCTGTTTCAGCGAGATCCCGTCGCGTCCCTCCCGCCATTCCAAGTCCGGCCAGTCTGAGGCCGAGGACCCGGCGACCACAGAGGCTCGGAGGCGGGAATCTGACTGGCGAGAAGCCGCGGATCGCCTACGGGAAGCCGGGGAGGCCGCCCAGGTGGCCGTCCGAGCTCGCCAAGCTGAAGAAGCCGCTCGGGAGGAGGCCAGACTTCGCCAGGCCGAGGCGGCGACGACTTCCGAGGCAGCTCGCGACGAGGCCGTGGGTGCATCGCTTGGGCCCACTCCCTCGGGCGACGCTCAGGACAAGCCAGGTCCGGGGGACATCCCTGAGTCCGGCACGTCCATCGGCGGGCCGAGCCGCGCAGCATCCTCACCGAGGCGGCTCTTCCCCACGCCTTCCGTTGCTCCACTGAGCGCAGAACCCCTTCTGCAGGCCTTGGCCGTCGCAAACATCACGGTGTTGGACGGGTTAAGTGCCCAGGTGGAGGCCCTGCAAGCAGAGCGGGCGGAGCTTGACGCCGCATGGGCGCGTGTCGAAGAGGGGCGACGCTCGGTGGAGGCCATGGTGGAGGTGGGCCGCAAGGCACACCGCCGGCACGTCTCAGAGCTCGAAGCCCGTCGGAAGGTGCTGGGGGAGATCGCCAAGGAGGTGGAGGAGGAGCGGGGGGCTGCCCTCATCGCCACCACCATGATGAACGAGGCGCAGGACACCCTCCGCCTTCAATACGGGAGCTGGGAGGCGGAGCTAGGGAAAAAGCTCGACGCCGCCTGGGGGGTCCTTGACGCTGCCGCTGCCCGAGAACGGCGGGCGGCGGAGACCGAGGTGGCATCCCGGCGGCGCGAAGAAGCCCTTGAGGCCCGTGCCATGGCGCTGGAAGAGCGTGCCTGCGCCGTGGAGAGGGACCTGGCGGATCGCGAGGCCGCCGTTGCTATTCGGGAGGTCACACTGGCGGTGCACGAAGCCGCCTGTGCCGAAGAAGAGTCCGCGCTCCGCCTCCGCGAGGACGCGCTCACCGAGCGGGAGCGAGCTCTCGAGGAGGCCGAGGCCGCGGCGCAACGGCTGGCGGACAGCCTGTCCCTCCGCGAGGCTGCGCAAGAGGAACAAGCGCGTCGCAATCTGGAAAGTGCCCGCGCCGAGAGGGCCGCACTGAACCAGCGGGCCGCTGAACTCGAGGCGCAGGCAAGGGAGCTGGATGTAAGGGCGCATAGCGGCGGGGCGGCCACGGGCGACAGTGACTTAGCCGCCCGCCTCGCAGCTGCCGAACACACCATCGCGGATCTGCAGGGCGCGCTGGATTCGTCCACCGGGGAGGTCGAGGCCCTTCGCCTGGCAGGCGAGATAGGGCCCAGCATGCTTCGCGACGCCGTGTCCCGTTTAGACCGCGCCGGGCGGCAGGCGGGTCTCTGGGGCGGGCAGACTGTGAAGTACGCCGCCAACCAGGGGGCCTCGCCCAGCGCCTCTCGGAGATGGCCGGGACTCTCCAGCGGCTCCCCGAGGAGCTCGAGGGGACGATTAAGTCATCCTCGAGGGACCTCGCCCGAGGAGCGGTGGAGCTCGTACTGGCGAGTTACCAGGCCAGGGACCCCGACTTCTCCCCATGGACGGCGCTGGACGAGTTCCCTCCCGGGACCGAGGACGGCGCGCGCGCGCAGGTCCGGGATGCCGCCGACCATATCGTCCACAGCTTCGAGGGTTCGGCCCCTCGGCTCGCGTTCGCCCTCAACTCCGACGAGGAGGGCGATGACGGCGGTGTGGGCGACAGTGGCGACGAGGCTGGCGACCCGGGTGCATCGGAGTGAGCCCCTAGGCCCCCGCCAATCTTTAAATAGTTTCTTCTTTTCTTCTTCCGAGGCCTTCGGGCCCCCTTCTTGTATAGACTAATTTAATCTGCAATCAAATAAAGAGGAAATTTTTTGTGTCAATTCTATTTGTTGTGTGTATGAGACGAGGATGTCTGTGCCGCGGTCCTTTTGTGTCTTGGCTTGAACAAGGGCTCGTGCCCAGGTCCTAGTCCTCAAATGGCTCGGGTCGGGGCTAGTGCCTGGTGAGATCCACATGTCGAGACTGGCCAGGCCGGGAGCGTGGTGACCGAGGGTTATGGGTGACCCGATTGTGGGTTTTTGCCGATTCCCCCCCGGAGTTCACCACGCCCCGGGGCACGGCTCGGTTTTGGGCCCCGTTTGGCGATTTTAGCCGACCCGAGCCCCCGAGGGCAGGATTGAACACGAGTGACCTATTTCAAGTCAAGATCCTTCAAAAGGAAACAACAGCACAGATACAGCCTTTAGGAAATCGAAAATGCTTTTATTGAAATACAGATATAAGAGAAATAAGAATATGCATATGTGGTAGCCCCCGGCCAACCCTGCACGCCCGAGGGGGGTGCGGGGTTGGCCCGAGCCCGAAACCTGACACCCGATCCCCCTTTAGGGGTAGAAGCGACGAAGGTGTTCGATGTTCCACGGGTTAGGCAGCTCTGTGCCGTCGCCCGTGGCCAGCCGAACGGAGCCCGGCCGGGGGACGCCGATCACTCGATACGGACCCTCCCACATTGGTGACAGCTTGCTCAATCCAGCACGCGTTTGGACGCGGCGTAGGACGAGGTCGTCGACGCAGAGTGATCGGGCCCGGACGTGGCGCTGATGGTAGCGCCGTAGGCTTTGCTGGTAGCGCGCGGCTCGGAGGGCCGCGCGCCGCCTTCGCTCTTC